GGAGATGGTGGATTAGATCAGGTCGGCCTCGACTGCTACAAAGAAGGGAGATATAGATGAATATGCGCACCTCATGTGGTCCCGGTGTCTAGGCCTCGCCTGGCTGGGGCTGCAGGTTATTTGAGACTTTTTCCCGCGCACGCAGTTTCCATTCCTACTTTTTTTTTTCTTGAGTAGAAGGTTCCGTGGAAAAGGTGGCCGAATTACACGGGTAAATACTGAGCTGAATGGCTATTCATCACGGGCAATATATCAATGATCTTTCGAGTACCAAGAGAGGCAAGGAGCACTGTAGTACGGAAATATCCAAACTCATATGCGACAGTAGGCGCAATCAGCGCACCCAGGACATATGTAGAGAGAGTCAATCTTGTCGGGAACCTGAGACGAAACAGATAATGATTGAGTCTTGAATTCGAGAGTCAGAATTTCCAACAAGTACCCAAATCAAGATTAAATTCTACTGCATCAATAGTTTGATCTCCGTCTAATGTACTAGGTTGATTGGTGATGAGGCTTCTCTATTATCTCGATGGTGCAGTTTTGTCGAGGGTCGAGTGTTGAGCTGATAGTAACCTTGGCGGAATTGTATGTGTGTATAAAGTTTGTCCCTCGACCGTGACTTCATCTTTCAGTAGTGCCAGTGTAAACCATCAGTATGCTCTGTACATCTAGGACATTCAAGAAGAATTGTATCCCAATCGAAGTCAATAGCAAACACGAGCATATCTAAAATCGACGATTTCTCTTCAATGTCAGTCTTACCATTCTCATTTGAGCCCTCAACTTCTACCTAACCACGTATCATCTCGCCTCAACGACCGATAAACGAATTGCTCCTATAGCAAATGAGAGTTTGCCCAATGACTTGCAAGCAATCACCCGCTACAAAATGACGACGCTCGGCATACCCGCAAGGATGGGAATGAGTCGTGAGGTACAAAACTTGGACTCCTGCTAATGGGGAACCTTTGCTCTATTGGGGCTATACGACTTGAGTAAGGATAGGCGACTTGGAAGTGGAATGAGAGATGGGGAAGAGATGTCACTTGGCCATGCTGGGACTTAAATTTCGAGGTGTTTTCGACCTCTGGACATTTGAGGTCGCCAAGGCTTTGATCTCGGGTAATTAGCCAGAACTTCACTATCGATGAATACAGCTCTCACCAGTACCCTTAACGGCACCAAAAATGTTGGAGTGGCTCACTTTACAGCCATCATACTCTGTCAAGACTTTTCTGATATTTTAGCACGACCTTGGGGAAAGGGTTGGATGGAGGCTAGAAAAGCGGAGTGTGACCTTCCTTTGGAACCGGCAAGTCTGCAGCACCCAGCTGACTGGCCTGTTCGAAAATTTCAAGAGAGATATTTTGAGCTCGAATCTAGTTCTATTGTCAGTATTAGGAGAGTCCTGCACTCAGTGGATCTTGCAATTTTCACCGGCTGCCAAAAACCCGCAAATTACCATTGTTTCTTTGGCTAGGCAGAGTGGAGATAATGAAGGGTCAAGAGCTCCGCCGTGTATGTGATAGAACGAGGCTATGATTGGCATTATGGTTTGAAGGAGCCGTATAAAATGCATATGAGGGGATATACTACTAGATAGGCATCATTTTTTCGTTTGAATCAGTTTTTAATTGCACAAGCAGCTATCTATACATGAAACAATATCAATGAAAAATTACAGAACAGAAGACTTATGTTAAAACTGGAGCAATAATGCCTCGGATTTCATTTGCAAATACCGGTGCGAAGTTATGGTGGCTCTTTCTTTACCCGAAGTCAGCCTTCTTCCATGAATACCAACCCATGAAAACATCTCAAAACCCATGAGTTGTGCAGACATACCTTCATCATCCATTAACTTCTCTCCGCGTGAAGTTTGATCTGAGGCGTTTCCTTCCCAAGTGGAGTAGGTGCCCAGGCAACTCAAACTATACCGGACAACACCACCAAGAGGCGGACCACAACACTTTTCATCTTCAGCTTTTGTTAAGTGTCAGCTGCAATCTCGCAAGCGAAGTCTTGACGCGCACAAATCTCAATTCGTAAAATTCTTGCCCGAGCTCCAGAATGTACGACCATCGGGGTTACATGCTTCCTTTGTATCATCTTATGACCTTGTCCTAATCCTTCTCACGTCCATCTCAAATAACTGTCTACCAGATTTGTGCACCACGCTTTGCTTCCTCCTGTGAGTATAAATATCGGTGTTGGCGTATATTTGGTGACCAGCTGAGGCCAGGGAAAGTCGACGAGAGGTATGGTGATTGGAATGAGGATGTACTTGGTCGCACTTGTAGACTTGATGAGACTTAGTAGTCAAACTCGTTGGGAGCGAAAAACACGACGTGGTGGATTTTTTTAAATCATTGCGTCGTGGGCCAACCTCTTTGATACTGCTAAATTTGACTGAACTTGGCTCTAGGAGAATATTTCACTCACAGGTTCGTAGAGGACACCGCGTATAGGTGTTCAATCTTGCCTCCTTCAGCCTGAGTTGTGACCAGAGAGTGCGAGGGAAGTGATCTTGATGTGGTCTTGAATCTAGGCGTATTGTTCGGAGTCGAAGTTCTGGATCCCCATGGACATATGTTGAACGATTCTTTTGATGTTTTACACTCATACTTCGGATATCACTCGCAAACATCACTTTAATGAATCTTTGCTTACACATTCAGTTTACTTTGCTCCGTAATTGTCAATTAAGGGACGTTTCAAAATGTATGATTATCCGAGCAAGCCTTAGTTATCTATGCATGATAGTGCCGCGAGAAACGTAGTTGGGTTTAGCCGGATACGAACCAGCGATCTCCTGCCTCAAGTGGTATAAGTCCACAAGCTATCCAGTATTTATTTGGAAGGCCGGTCGAGATGATATCCCACCGCTCTACCCAACTTTGGCTGTGAGTATATTTTCGCATGCATTCTAATGATGGCATTAAACACCAACCTGTACCTAACTGAAATCCAATAACTTGTATACGCGACACAGTGAATCTTCGTCCTAATCTAATGTTCACGCTGTGGCAAATAGAAAGATCACTTTTGGACGTACGATTGGCGATTTTCAAAATGCCGATGACTCCGATCAAAAGCTGCCCGAGCACCCTTTTCGAATACACGGAATGTAAAATTTACATCAGCGCTTATTCACTACCTCGGCCCCGATGGAAAAAGATTCAATACCTGTCGGTGGTGTTCCCTGTCAACCTACGGCCCTCTAATTAGGTTCTACAGGTTAAACTCTGATCCATCAACAGCTCGGAAAGCTTCTATTGTTAATAGATTTACAGTATTCTTCACCACCAAGATTGCGCAAGGAAAGTAAGCCAGGCTAGTTTGCAGTATAAGCTCCATTCAAAGACTTGATTGGTATTTTATTATGCCTCAAGATGTCCCGAGGTGCAAATGATAAAAGAAGGCGAGAAAGGTTGAGAATCATGATCTCCAACACGTACACGTCTACCACGCCCACTTATTTTGGAAGTTTTCTCGACTACGATACCTCATCGAAAAACTATCGTTTCCCTGGTTTGAGATGGAAGGTAAGGAAAGGCTAAAGGGAATACTGAGCATGTGATCGAGTAAAAAACTGAGGAGAGATACTATTGAAAGGGATATCTAAAGGAGGCTTAGGATAGGGTTTTCACCCGATGCATAGGTGTCTTTTGCCCGCAGGCAGAAAGGACAATAATCACCATTAAGACCTCGGCCTCTCGGGATCATAGAAAAGCCCGGGAAGGGGTAACTAATACATCTTCGTTACCGGCCAAGGTCCCGGCCATAAAAACGACACTATTTCACTTTCGATATTCATTCATTCCGCTTCACTCAGAGTCACTAAAAATTTGTTCCTTGTCGGTGCAGGATCAATGATACCACAAACGAATCACGGGGCTAACAAGTAATCTGGCCATTTTACTTCCAGGCTATCCAAATAATGCTTTAAGCTCTTGGGAATCGTATGTTTTCGCTCACGCATACCCAAATATGCTACGGTTATTGATCCCAACAAAGGATGAGTAGTGAGGCTAGCTAACCTTGGAATAAATCCCGCAACCCGCCAACTGAGGGAGCAAATTTCAGAAAACGAATGGATCCCTTTGAGAAGATGGCTCAAAAATATGCCGGAAATGCTAGCAATCGATGCCCTGATATCGTCCCGCAAGATCTGCAAATGAATAAAGCCGAAAACAAATAATGCGGAAAGAAGTCTTATTTCTTGGCCATAAAGTTGCGATTAAGGATTTAAGGTATTAACTAACGTAGTCTCTGCCTCTCAGCCAAAGCTAATTGGGTTTGGTTCAAAGTAGAGAGCTCCAATATTCCTTTTGCCACTAAGGATACTCTGACGAGCCATTAGAGTAAGGCACACGTGATATTCCCGACTATGACAAGCTTGTGAGCATAAAATATCTCATTGTCTTTACGCCAAATACCAGCATCAATGAAGAATTTTACCCAATATATTACCTTACTCTTATGAAAATCTATTAATTCAAAAAATTCACTAGATGAATTTTACACAGCACCGTGTTAATTGATATATATAATAAACATGCATGTACATGGTAATATTTGTCGATGGTGGTGCACATTAAATTTGTAGTTGCCAATATTTCGACATGCCAATGAATGCAGAAAAACAGAATAGGCACGTTACAATCGATCCGGGTAATACCCTGCTCAGACACTATTCCTATCGGGCACCACTTTCCAGGAATGCTCTCTTCAAAACTATCCCTTGCTGCGTTAAGCCGGTGTAAGTTATTGGCTTGTTTTAGTGACTAGCTTACTCTGACGCTAAACAACAGATCATGTGATACACTCAAGTATGATTTACTCATAAAGGCATCACTGACTCTTATCCGTGGGTATCCTAACTCCCAAAGTAGATACTGCGAAAAACATTAGGAATTTTTGAATCCGAGAACAGTGGCCATAAAAATTCACAGATCTAACGTTAATCGGCTCGGCATATAGCCAGTGCTCTAATCATGACGGAGAGTGAGACAAAAGTCGACTTTGACCGAGCGCTTGTGGTGAGAGGGCAAATTATAGACAAACAAATAGGTACAGAGAGCAGCCGTAATTTCCAGCACGCATCAGAGAGCGTGTCAGATAGTCGGAACCGTGCCTTATCTGTCGATATTAAACAGAAGGAGATTTACATTAACAATTCTACTTTAGACCCACGCCTCTGGAATCTGAAGAGAAAACTAGCTGTAGTGGTATTTATTCTACTGACGGCCTTTACTGCTACAATTGGAACACCTATTTATATGGCAGCCATACCAGATGTGCAATATAGGTTTAAGTTAACAACAACATATGCTATTCTTCCGGCTAGCCTTTATGCACTAGCCTTGGGTTTAGGTGCGATAGTTACATCTAGCTTTTCAGAAATATACGGACGACGCATTATTTATCGACTGACTCTTCCAGCTGCACTACTTGCCACAGTACTCGCTAGTATCTCTTCGCAATTCATTTATATGGTGACGTTCAAGACCCTTGCGGGAATCCTATCGGCTCCAAATTTGACTGTTGGTGTGGGAGTACTAAACGACCTTTGGGATCCAAAGCAGGACCGTATGGGAACAATCATGGCTGTGTTATTCGTTCTATGCATCATTTGGGCGACTCAGTTTGGACCACTAATATCAGCATCGGTCATGACAAAATGGAATCACTGGCAGTGGACTTTCCATATTTCATCACTTCTATTGATATTTTGCGTTCTATTGGCTTTCCTCGTGCCCGAGACTTATATGCCGGAGATTATGCGAACTGATGCAAAACGACAAGGACAAATAGTAAAATCACGTCGATTGACATGGCATGTTATTAGAAAAGCCGCCAGTCAACCACTTCATATGATACTCGTGGAGCCAATAGTCTTTCCTACTGGGCTGGTCTTAGCCATCACTCAGAGTGTTATTTTCTCATACTATGTGGCATACGCAAGCCTTTTCGAGGGAGTGTATGGCTTCACTCAGTTGCAAGTAGGCTTTTCTTTCACACCTTTGGTACTAGGTACACTCTTTGCTTTGCCGATATTGGCAGCTTGTGAAAAATGGGTTTATCAAAAAGCGAGAAAAGATAACCAAACTAGCGGGAAATTTGTCATGCCTGAGTCACGCTTATACCCAGCTATGTTTAGTAGTCTTACAATGCCCATCAGTTTATTCTGGTAGGTGATCTATCTCCATTTTTTGCATTATTAATATACTGAATTTCGCATTAACGTTAAACTGGTATAGGCTCGCCTGGACAGGAAGAGAAGATATCCACTGGATTATACCTGTTATTTCGGGCACCCTCTTCGGTTTCTCATATGTCCTAAATATGCTCTGCCTTCCGATTTACAACAATGATATATACACCACACAACTAGGCGCCTCAGTACTTGCGGCAAGCACCTTTATGCGTTTTGTCATTTCACCTGGCTTCATGCTCTTAATGCCAATCATACTTTTACATCTTGGCTTTGCCTGGAGTGTGAGCTTACTAGGCTTAATAACCATAGCACTCATTCCTGTCCCCTTCATATTCTTTAACTACGGTCCCCGACTAAGGGCCAAGAGCAGATATTTAAGCGATCGATCATCTTGATTTCAGGAATTTTGATCGCCAGCGCTTTATATTTTAGATACGGATACAGAGTCTTATTGGATTGCATCATACGCCTCTATTAATTTTTTATATTCAGCCGGACTGCCTATGATATTATTTTTTTTAATTTTGCTCTTTGGGAGAGGGAATTAATCCGCGAGATCCAGTGTAGAAAGGAAAGGCTTGGGTGAGCAAACGGCTGTTGGATTGGTTTTGATAACAGAAACTTTGAGGTAATTATTGTCATATAAGAATAATTAACGGATGTAATTGTCACCAAATTTCTTATTCCCTTTTGCCAATGTGATATTCTTTGCCCATTCTCTGAGCTTCGTTACGTTCATTCCTCTCCGTTCCATTTCGGCCAAAATATCCCAGCCTCTCATATCACCCTCGGTAAGAGTGATTATAACGCAGCGCTGGGCTGTTCCTGGACGCATCCACCACCCTTTACCTTCATTTTTACCTTTACCTTCGAGAACCATTTCTTCAAGGTATCTAAAGCTGTCTTCGTAATCTTTTTCGTTGATGCAGATCAAAATAAGCCTATCGTACGTCAATTCGTCCGGCTGAATGTTTAGTGATCTCATCTCGGATGCTAAGAACATGGCTAATTTTTTATGGGAGATGGAAGTCCTCGAAAGCCCTTGGAGAAGATAGTTAAATGTCGCAGTATTAGGTCCATCAGAAATAGTGTGTATCTTTTTGTACAGAAGCATGGCCAAATTAATTTCCTTTCGAAAGATGCATGCTTCAATCACAACGTTTATGGCAGTCAGAGTAATCATGCACCCATCTTTGTGTAAGTCTATCAACGCTTGCCATGCCCGGCCTGGCGTAAGGTGTGGATCCGATGATAAGCGGGCAAATATTGGGCGTGTATTTGTTGCATTAGGTTTAAGCCCAGCCTTTTCCATGGTGGTTAAGAGGCGAAAAGCAAAAGATAAATCGTTGGAATTGACATAAGCTTCCATCAAGGCCTCGTAATGGTATGGCTCTACGGCGGAGCGGGTCGAGAGGATACTAGCAGCAGAGGTAGCAAGTTCTGGGTCGGAGTAGCGCGCTGCAGTATTCAGAACCGCAAATAACATACCATCTGAAGGTATCAAGTAACTTGGACGCACTTGATAATACCAGATGAATTTCAAGCCTTCGTACTAGATGACGGTTGGTAAGAGAATGATAATATAATGGAGACTTACATGCATGCCTTTTCCGAAAGAATCCAAGAGGAAATGCCACACTTCAGAATGTATATCTGCCCGTACATTATCCCAGCGATACTTTAGCATGGCAAATGCCTCATCATACTCTTGAGATTCACACAGCTGATACATGAATATATCAAGTAGCCATACCTTGGCAGGGATTTTATTCTCGAGCATCTTCTCTAGCTTTTCCATGGCCAGCTCGTATTGCCGGTCTCGAATTAGGCCCACGATGAGGTAATGCCATCCATCCGAATTCAATTCAAACCACAACTTCTTCATGTCATCTATTATCTTCATACGAAGTACATAATCCGGATGCACAGCAAGGGCGAGGAGCGCGGCATGATATACGCGCGAATCCTTCACTACCCCTAACTCATCCATTTCTGATATCAAATCCCGTACCACATCAGCACTTCCTTGCGATGCTGACGCATTTGCGCGAATGAGAGCTATGTAATGAAGAGAACTTGGCTCTTCTTTTCTAACAGTAATGAGATGCTCGACAACTTTGTAAATATATCTGAAAGTCTCGTCTTTTCCTGACTCATAATTTTCAAGAATATCATGGAGGTTGCCGGTGGTGTGTGTTTCTAATGGCAATGCAAATAGTGCTTCGGCATCATTATCAGCGGCCAAGTTAGGTTTTGCTTTCGGGAGACACAGCCTGTGGATGGATTTGACGCGAATCGAAAGTTTTTTTCTGCTGTGCCTGGTCCGCGCGGACAGAGCGGATGGATTGTGCGAACATTTTGAGCCGTAAGCCGGAAGGATGAGAGTATTTGCTAGTTGCTGGCCGTAAAGCGGCACATTTGCTGTCCTGGATGGCAGACGAAGGCAGCGCCAAAGACTCTCAGTCAGTGTGGCACCTATGTGACGGGTGTTGGGCATTTAAGCATGGATGTCTCTCCTTTGCTAGAATTGTTTGGCGTACCGCGTTATTTCAATATCAGCTCCGTGTAAGACTGGTCCAGTCTTCGAATTGGCCTTGTCTGTGTCACGTGGGTTGGTGTAATAAATTCGTGCCAAAGATTTGAACCCGCACGCTTTGTTGGAGGACAACTATACACATGTTAGGGATTCCTCTAGGGTACCTATGATTTAAATTTTCTCTCAGTGCTAATATTTATTCGCTCAATATAAGTGGAGTTGAAATGTTTTTCACTGAATTGTCATTATCGAGGAGGTTGTGTAGGTTCTTTCAGGTCTGAGCTCCACAATGCACAGATATCAAGAGCGAGTAGACAAATCAATAAACAATGACATCTATTCACCATCCAGAAGCTGGTCAGATTTTGTAATCGCTCCTAACACTTTACAATCCTCTCAGCAGTCAATACCTCTTGCATATTGAAATATCTTATAGTTTACGTCGCTTAATTACATATAAATATTTTTTTTTTTTATACTTAAGATTAGGTTCGGTAAGACTTAAAGGGGAGTACGTGTGAAAGTCACATGAGTCTTCAAAAGGTAACAGCGAACATGGGAATGAATAATAGCCTGCTTCGTGTTACGATGGACTCGTAGCACTATAATATCTTATTCTACACTATTAACGCCCCTGATCACGGTGGAGAAGCCTTCCGAGGAGTTTCCGGAGCGTACCAGCACCCGATACGGCGATGGTGGATTAGATCAAGTCTGCCTCGACTGTTACAAAGAAGAGAGATATAGATGAATATGCGCACCTCATGTGGTCCCGGTGTCTAGGCCCCGCCTGGCTGGGGCTGCAGGGTTTTTGAGACTTTTTCCCGCGCACGCAGTTTCCATTGCTACTCTTCTTTCATTTTGTTTTTTTTTATTGGGTAGAAAAATCCATGGAAAAGATGGCCGAATTCCACGGGTAAAAACTGAACTAAAAGGCCTTCCAAGTAGCAAAAGAGGCAAAGAGCACCATAAAAGGCGCGGCCTAGGCCTAAGATAAGCCCAATGTGCTAGGTAGTCTTAGACTCATGTAGTAGAATAAACATGCAGACATGCAAAAAAATGTGTCAGCCGCAAACCACCCGAACTGTCTCTCTCTAGGCACCTTCTCCGGGCACTAATTGCAGCACGAACATGTCACGGCAATTTCGCGGCATACCATCGCCGTCTTAATAATCCATACGCTCTTGTGAAGTGCTCTTGCGGGAAGGAAACTACTCCAACCCACTTCTTCCACTGTAGTCACCACGCACAGCAAACGCGTAGGCTCAGAAAGTCAGTGTCCCACGCTGACTTTATCAAAAAGCTTCTCGGGCCCAAGTGCCACGATAGCTTCAAAATATTTGCGGAGGAAACCGGCTGTTTTGATAGCCAACCCGCCCACTCATCCACTGCTCTCAGCGGGGATCAGACAGTCTAGTCATTGCCACAACGCATGACACAAAAGGGATCGATGCGAGAACTGTCGTTTCTCTGAGGAAATTTTTATGCACTTGAATTTAGGGCCGAAGGATGGAGTCTCGGTTTCGGAGTCGGAGTAGTTGATGTCTTCTGAGTTATAATTTACCTCCTACTTTTTCTGTAGCAGGTCTCGCGGTTGGAATGAGTTGGGCCTGTTAGCAGTGATCTCCGCCGGCTCCACTAGCCTTGTACCTATAGTGGACCTAGAGCTTTAGCTTAGGACTTTAATATTTAAAAAAAAAATATGTCAGCCGGCAGAGGCGAATTCTCCATCTTCCATTGGTGCCGGTGTAATTTCTCAGTATGCTCTGCATATCTGGGATAGCCAAGAAGAATCGCATCCGATTCGAAGTTGAAAGCAACCTCCAGCATATCTAAAGTTGACGACTCCTCGTCACTGTAGGACCTATCATTCTCACGCGAGTCCTCCACCTCAATCTTACTGCACCACCCCGCCTCGAATACCGATAATAGTCTTACTCCAGTTTCAATCGGGCATTTGCCTCATCAAAATCCGGCCATCTCCCACTACATATTTACGACGCTATGTATACCCGCGAGGAGGAAATTAAGTCATCATCTTCAAAGCTCGGGTCTTGGTCTATGGGGGACCGTTGCTCTAACGGGGTTTCACATATTGAGGGAGGACAGGCAGCTTAGGTGTAGGACGAACGAATGAAGAGGTCACAAATGGGCATGCTGGGACGCATATTCTTCGAGTGTTTTCGGCACAAGGGTGTCTGTGGGCGCAGAGGCAACGATTTAGGATAGTGCAGCCGACACTTTTTTAATTCATTTTATTGTCCTGTCTGAGTCTATGACTATGTAGGACATGAAGTCCTCTCTGCCTACAGGCCAAGGATACCTATACCAGTAGTAGATCCCATCCTATGACTCCCATAAAGCTCCCCTCAAACAGTAACGCCCCTCACGAGTCCTCATTAGATCATCCACTTAGAGGAGCCCTTTACCCTTCATTATCTCCCCTCTCCAGCCAACGAAACGATGGCCATTTGCGGGTGTTTGGCAGCCGGGAAAAGTCGCAAAAACCACTGGGTGCGGAGCTCTCCTAATATCAACACCAGAACTAAATCCGAAGATAGATTAACCCTTCTGAGGCGTAAGAAGAGTCCGACCAGCTGAGTGCTGCAAACTTGAAGGTAGCTCGGGAAATTCGCACTCTGCCTTTCTAGCCTCCTTTCAACTCCTCCCCGAATATCGTGCTGGAAGGTCAGAAAAGTCTGGACAGAGCGTGATTGCTGTATGGTAGCATAGCCTAACTTCTTTTGTGCTGTCCAGGGCGCTGGGGAGTGCTGTTGACTCACCGACAATAGAAGCCCTCCTGGCTAATTAGCCGAAATCTTAGTCTTGGCGCCTACAAAAAATACAAGGTTCAAAACACCTCAAAAATGTCAGTCCCAACATGGTCTTCAGAGACCTATTTTCCCTCACGCTCCACATCTCAGGCGCCTATTCTCCCTCAAGTTGTCTGTCCCATTAGGGCACCAGTCCCCCATAAGCCAAGACCCAGGCTTTGTATTTGTCGACTTGATTTCCTCCTTGCGGGTATAAATAGCGTCGTAGATATGTAGTGAGTGATGGCTGGAGATTAATGGGGCAAGCTCCTGTATGCAATTGGAGCAACTTCTTTACTGGTCGTTGAGGCGAGATGATGCGTGGTTAGAGATGGGTTGAGGACTCAGATGATAATGATGAGAGAGGCATTGTCGAGAAGTCGACAAATGGAGATGTGTTTGAGGTTGCTTTCGACTTCGATTCGGATGCGATTCTTCTTGGCTATCCCAGATATGCAGAGCATACTAAGCGATTACACCGGTAACACTGGAAGGTGAAGAATTCGTCTTTGCCGGCGCCGATACTTTAAATTAAGGCGACGATGGAAGGTGTTCTGGTCCGCCTCCTGGTCGTCATCTTCCAGAATTAAAGTCTGGCTAGCCTGAACACCTACGTCACTCGAGAAACGGAGGACTGTGAGGCCATATCTAGCGCGGCGGCTACATACAAGATGGCAAAGGCATGTTAGAGTATTCAAAGGTTTTTCAGTTCTCCCTTTGATGGATTTACACAGTTGAGGGAAGGACGAGAGTCCCTAGCACCAAGGACTCGAGTGGTATCAGCGAGTGCACCCGCTACATGAGAAGTCCAAATGTCAAACTGAGTTATCGTCGTATATAGTCGTCGGAGAAACTAGTCTTCTCCATGTCATGCCCTTTGAGCGCAGGGCTTGTCTCCGTCGCAAATAAACTTACATTCACTCGCTCATACTCATGTCGAGTGCGCTGCCATGTCAAACTCATTTGCCCCAAATAATAAATTTTCTTTTTTAATCATGTGACTTTGGAATGTCAAATGCTGATTGGTGGCTGTTATTTTAAATCAGACTCATTATCCATTCCCCAGATATGGCACTCACAGGAGATGAGATCGATGAACTTCTCTATCTCGCACGGTCAGGCGAATCTAAGGAATTTGAAAGCCTTAGTAGCGCATTATGCGAAAGGGAGAAGTTGACTACCAGCGAACTGATCGCAGCTGCAAAAGACGATCATAGTGGCAATGGAATTCTACATATGGCTGCGGCCAACGGACATGTCGGTAGGATTAAACTGAGAAAAAAAATCCCAGTCCACTGTAAAGAACTGAAAACTCAGCTGATAATCAACCCCAGTTATTGTGCGCTATCTTTGTAATGCTCTCGCAAGCCCTACGCCCCAAATAGCTCAGACGAATTCGATCCTGAGCTCCCAGAACTATGCGGGAAATACAGCGCTACACTGGGCCGCACTCAACGGACATCTTGAATGTGTCAAGTTCCTTCTAGACCATGGTGCAGACCCTACAATCACCAATCATCGAGGTCATGACGCAATCTACGAAGCTGAATTGAATGGAAAGGCGGAAGTCGTAGACTGGGTATTGAAGGAAGGGGGACAAGAGCTTGATGAAAGTATTGCTCAAAATGATACATACAAAAATACTGCAGTTGGGGTAGCAGAGAAAACAACATCAAAAGTCGAAGAAACCGAAAAAGTCACTGAAAAAATGGAAGAATTGGAAATTAAATCTGAATAGAGCAAGTCTTGGTATAGACACTTCATCACACTTAACGCAAGAATCCTCTCCTGCTAAGGAACCAAAGATTATAGTTATCTGATAGAGTCGATGGCTTCCTGCTTGAAATAGACAAAGCTGCAATTGACAGAATCTAATCTATAGTACTGTAAAATATTTATTCGCCACCAAAAGCTATGACAATATAGAAATTTTATAACAAATTTGTGATATAATGAATCATTCTAAAAACATTTCGGAATGCGTTGGCATCCTTAAAGCTGGCAATTTGCCTAGCCTAATAATGTAACAAGCTTATAAATATTATATCACGAAGATGAAAATGGGATTTGATGAAGCAGATAGTATTATTGTTAGCAGTAGATTCGGGACTTGGAGGGCAAGACTGAACACCTGTACGCGACGTCCTCTACGAATTTGGGAGTGAAATATTCCACCAAAGCTGAGTTCAGTTAAATTTCGCAATACGATAGAAGTTGGCCAACGAGACAATGATTCAAAAAACTCCATCACTTCAATCCTTCACTCCCAAAGTGAACGATTCATCTCTAAACCACATCAAATCTACAGGTGCTATCCAGTATATCCTCGATCCAATAACCACACCTCTCGTCAACTTTCTCTGGCCTTAGCCGGTCACCAAATACATGCCAACACCGATATTTAAATCCGCGGGAGAAAGCTAAGTGTGGTGCACAAATCTGGGAGAGAGTTCTTTGAGATGGACGTTAGAGGGATCATGACAAGCTCAAAAAATGGTGCAATAGAAGTATATAACCTCGTAGAACATGAAATTCTGAATTTTTGCAAGGAGTTTTACGAATTGAGCTTTATGTGCGCATAGACTTCGGTTGCCAGAGTGCAGCTGATACTATAAACACAAGCCAACGATAGAAGGCGTCGTGGTCTGCCTCCTGGTGGTGTCTGTGTGGATTTGTTTATTACACTACTTGAGTTTATGACTATCTGGCACATTGGGTTCCTCTCTAGCCCAGGCCACACCTTGTACAGTGCTCCTATCCTCTTTTTTTGCTTGAAAGACCATTGATATGTTCCCCTTGATGAATAGCCATTCAGCTCAGTGTTCACCCGTGGAATTCGGCCACCCTTTCCACGGAACCTTCTACCCCAAAAAAAATGGTAGCAATGGAAACTGCGTGCGCGGGAAAGTCTCAAAACCCCTGCAGCCCCAGCCAGGCGGGGCCTAGACACCGGGACCACATGAGGTGCGCATATTCATCTATATCTCCCTTCTTTGTAACAGTCGAGGCCGACTTGATCTAATCCACCATCGCCGTATCGGGTGCTGGGTACGCTCCGGAAACTCCTCGGATGGCATCTCCTCCATGATCAAGGGTTGGTGATTAATAGGGCTCCGACCCTACCATCTGATCTGATCGTGGTTAGCTTTGTGATAATGGTGATATGGGAATGTGTTGAGAGATGAAGACGATACAGACCGCGAGAGCGATTGGGAATCCTCGTCGAGGTGAGGATTTTGTTACTCAAACTCGGCTCTGCAGACTCAACAGCGAGAACTTGAGTTTATATAGGGATCACCATTGACAGATGTTGAGAATAGTCTTCCTTCGAATATCTCATTTCAAGATGGCAAAGTAGATAGGCATTTTTGGTTTTGGTAAGTGGAACATTTCAACTATTGTCTATGCCATTTTAATTTCAAGACATACACAAGGCTCAGCGAGGCTTAGAGTTGTTCCTATTTTCGGTTGATCACGTTTAGAGAGATTGCCATTTGAAAAAGTGTATAAATCTTTAATACAGCTACATTTGCGGATGTAACGTGCTGCTTAAATTCTAGTTCTTTATTAGCGTTCACCAAGGGATATACTGATAAACCTAAATTATTGCCTTCCAAGCTTGATTAGAGTTCGGCTTTGTGAAAAATGATTGTACTTTGTCAGCAAAATATTGGGTTAGCCACGACATGCGCGAACCAACAGTAAATATTAACGTGGATTGGGTCAGACGATGGCTACAGGGCTGTGGCAGGATGTATATGAGCGGTAGGCCACTTCTCGGGGTTTTGATGAGAAGCTAGTTCATGTAAGAGCGGATGGTGGCTTGCAGTTTGCTTTTGACAATGAAACTTTGGAATTAATTAGCGATACAGTTGGTTTAAAATCTCCTAGGCAACGATAAGCTCGTTATTCTTACATTGTTTCTGATCAGACACAATGATCAGGCAACTAATCTGAAAGGTGTAATTAAATGGCTCCTTTCTTTTGTTGTAATTGTTGACTACGAAGCCTAACAGTGATGGCGTGGTTCATGGTATGCATGTAGGTGTATGGCAATCATATTTTGACAAGTAAAGCCATGTGGATTGACCCTCAGGTTCAAACGACGATTTGCGCCACTGCCCATGAGTGCAGAAGAACCAACTTTCTCGTCCCTGACCATGGGCGTCACGTATTGTGACGTCTTCACTAGTCATCGCCCGCAAATTTGGAATTTAGTATGGGTCCGGCTTTAAGGGGCATCTCGTTCAGTTCTTTCCGTAGATGTCTCCAATTCCTCCTGATACTCCCGTTTACCCCTACATGTAGCCACTCAATTTTTCCAATCCCCAATGATAACAATTGTCTCCCACACCTAATATTTTCAACTACCGAACTGTGAATAGAACTGTCGCATTCATCAATTCATAATCCTGACGATCGATTGTGACGATCATAACTCTCATAGGTCGCTTATTGGATCGGGCACTGTGTACAATCGGTATCCTACGACTATCCCCCCTACAAGAAGTGATTATTCCTGCTTCAAACTCTGTATCGGAAGAAAAAGTTAGGATAAGAAGCGGCTGGGAAGGTGTGCATCCGCAGCGGCGTCTTACTTTGCACACCGACCCACACTACTAGCCCACGACCCCCCCTCGCTCACAGCGCATTTACATGCTCTCGTGCTCTCTGTGACTTACATCCCTCCATATTTATACACACTCTCAAGTTTAGACGACCCGTAACAACAGTGCGGCACTAACCGAGCTCAGGCATCTGTGCTCTACTTACAACTCTATCAACGCTCCGATAATTGCATTCGACATACAGTGGACTAGCATCTGAAGTCTGGGCGTTTTCTGTAATAGATAATTATGCCGCTCCACACTGAACATTCGACCTCAACTACGATTACACAGCGCGAAACCTATCCCAGTGATATAGAGCTCACAGAGAAGCTTGACGTCGAGGAGATTTCCCCAATACCGACCATCGATGACGAGACTGGCTGTGCCACTCAGACCGAACGGCCATCCCAGCTCAGCGAAACATTCCTGGACGAGATATCACTCTCTACTACTGCAAAAATATCCATTTCTCAAAAAGCCTTATCTCCTCGACGAAACCGAGACTCCCACGAACTCATCCTTTCGCCCAGGCGAATTACTCACGCATCTCTCGTCGATCATATGCTTCTCTCTTTCGATCACTTCAAGTCCAACCCTTTACCCTCCGCTCACAATAATCACAACTCTCGTAGAACACTAACTGAAGACGAGGAAAGACTCTACTCGGTATTCGCCGATAAAGACGCATACAATTCGTCTGAAAATTTTGGAACATGGAGCAGTCGAAGAGCCTGGTATCAGCCAAATTATAGCACCGATGTTGAAGAAATACAAGAAACAAGTAATGGAGGGCGTCTAAATCGTCCACGGCGCAGCATAAGTAGCTCCAATGTAAGATCTGTGGCTGGTATGATTATTGGGCAGAATTCAAACATCAGTCACTCGGCACGGAACCAGGCTCCCATGTCGTCTTTCTCAAGTTCACATACGTATACGCACACTAGAACAACAAGCAGAGCGAGTAGTGTTGATCTAACAAGTAATATAAAAACATCAGAAAAGCCAGGCATGGCCCGTGGCTTTATCGGGCGGGCCTCGAGTTTTGATTACAGCAGCGACTATCGTACTTTTCAACATCGCCCTAAGAACTGGAACACACCTCATGAACCATTATCTATGCAATCAGTCTTTAATACTAGTCCGCGTAAGCAACGAATGGCGTTAGCCACTGATATATCCAGTCCTGAGCGACGTAGTACAAACAAGTTAGTGCGAAAAAAAAGCCTACGATCGACTAAAGTTACATCAAAAGGTGGTGTGATAAATTCATGGAACGGACAACTTGGAGCGCTACCCATTTCACGAGGAGATCATGCTAAGGAGCAAATCTATCCAGCTCGACCGCCTTTACCAACCAATACTAACGAATTACAACTAATAAATGGCTACAATAAGAACGAATCGTCTAGCTCTGTTGTGACATCTAAACCCTTACCAACAGAAAATTCGACCGTGACCCAGACAAAAGAGCGACCAGGATTCTTCCGAAGAGTATTTGGTACATCTCGTAATACTTCGGCAAATAATGAGATCCATCGTCAAAAGTCTCCTGTATTACAAACTCATCCAAGTGAGCCCTGGCTGCCGCACGGGTCCTCCTCATCAGTTGACACGATCAATGATCGCTCTGATCTACAACCCCCATTCCTTCATAGCCACCTCAAATCTATTCCCGCTCGAGAAACCTCCGTCTCACCTCCTTTGCCACTTCCGACATCTTTAACAACCTCGCCACAGCTAGTGTCGTCAGAATCCATGGCCGTTTTGAACAAAAAATCTTCAATATTTTTTCGGCGTCGAAAAAAGCCCATCATACGATCCGCATCGACAGTACCTGTACCCCCAGTTCCTGTAATGCAATACGAATTGCCTGCTAAGGGTCCCTCTGTTGATAAGATGCTGCCTAATCCTCCATCTAGTCTTCAGACTGTACTACATCCTAATCTTCGCACACATCACAGTCCAATTGATATTTTTAACACGCATGAGTTCGATGATCAGTGGAAGGATGTAACTATCGCTACAACAGATACAACAAATAAACCAGAAACAGACTCTTATCCTTTGAAATCAAGCAGAATTACTAGGACAATCGACAAAGATGCAATCAATATTACAAATCCTTCGTATAACTCAGCAAGCCACATGCAGTTGATATCCAATGAATATGGAAACTCGAGCGAGCGACGTAATGAAGAACGTGACACCACATTTCTTCATGACAATAGCGACACGGAACGAGACATTTTCATCGCGCGATCTACCTTCGTGAATCCTCTTATGGCACATCCTCTCGAAGACTGGAGCAATAATTCAATTCCGGTTCAGGTACCTAATCCTTTACTCTCATTGTCCACTATTAAGAACACACAAGAAGGTGAAAGCGACGAATACTTGTGGAGCCGCTCATCACCGTTGATTCCACGTCAGCAGATGCCTGAAACTGCCTCATTCATACGTCGAACACACATCGCAAGACAGCAAAGTGAAGACTGGGTTAAAATTACCCAAAATAAAGATGCAAAAACAGAGGAAAAGGAAGACCGTGTATGGCTTGAACCATCTTCTGATGAAGAGGAGCATGCAGCATGTAATTGGGGTGCGCCTGAAGCAATGGCTATAGGATGGCGACTTGAGAGTTCAGAGTCCAACAGCAGTACAGATGGATCTCTAGCAAGTCTACCTGTAGCACGAGCTGTAGAAAATGTTCTGCGGAAAAAATCTACTGTGAATCAAGCTAGAGTAGTGACCTCTGTTGCCCCTCGAGTTATCTCATTGCCTACCGATTTGGCTATTGCCACTGGTCCTCGAGAACTCGAAAGTGCGAGACGTATTTATGATGGAACAGAAGATCTAGTCTCAAAAGAAAGAGCAGCAGCTTGGTTAGCCGAAGAGCAACCACCTCGTCCACAAGTTTTAACAGCTTACATGCAGTTCTATAATTTTACTAACCTTGATATTTTATCTGCACTTCGTCTACTTTGCGGTCGCTTAGTCCTTAAAGGCGAAAGCCAGCAAGTGGACCGCATTCTTGTCGCATTCGCTTGGAGATGGTGCAAGTGTAACCCGAACCATGGTTTCAAATCAGCTGGTTTGTTGTCTCTCATATGTCATTTGTTACTACAGCTAACTTTTATCAGATGTCGTTCACACCATCTCATATTCACTTCTTCTTCTAAATACAGATCTCCATCTAGCGGATATCGAGCAAAAGATGACACGAAGTCAGTTTCTCAAGAATGCTCTGCCCACTCTACGAAAAATTGCAGAGGACACTTTCCAGGAGACGGATGAAGTTATGCAGTCCACTAAAATATTGAGTAAGAGCACAATCGTTGACCAGGACCCTCTACCACTCGATATCCGAGCAGAGACTAAAGCTTCATCAGAGGTGGAAAAATCTTCCGTGGCGGCCAACTTTAAACACCAGAACTCACGAGGCGACTCGGACGCCGTTGGCGAAATAGAAATTCCCACAGAAGATATAGGCCCTTTAATTAAGGCACCTTGTCGTGGTCTTTTAAGGAATTGGGAAGGCCAGGTTGAGATAGTTTTGAAGAATTTCTACACTTCAATTCGTAATGAACGTCTTCCCCTCTATGGTGCACTCTCCGAGAAGTCAGCTACAGCTGGCGTCTCCAGTAATCTTTCTATATTTGCTAACGGAGTATTGCGAAGAACTCCAAGTGTTCTAAGCCATGCGCCTTCAGAAACACAAAGTTATCGTTCTCGAGCCGCAGATACTTTAAGAGCTGGAAATAGTAAGTGGGCCAACAAAAATCGTTCACGACCTCGCTTAAATCTTGCTGGTCCTGGTCTTGGCTCAAGTCGGACAAGCTTGGACGACCAATCCTCGATGTGGAGTCCGTCTGTATCAAGTACGTGGAGCAAATATTCGCTCGGGAAAACCCAAACATCCCTGTCGGTTGATTCCCTTGGATCTTCATGGCCCGCTGCCGATTATCAACAATCCATAGGTTTTGCCAATGCGCTGAGTCAGGCTATAATACGCGAAGAAGCTGTAGGTGCCACTGAAAATTTAAAAGACCATGAAAATTTGCGGGAGATGCCTCTACTTGAAGATGAATCTCTTGGTCTTTACGGTGCTCCATGGGCAAAAGAAGGAATTGTAAAACATAAGCATCACCTTGAATCCTTGGACAAAAAAGCACGAGAAAGGAATTGGAATGAAGTTTTCGCAGTTGTTGAAAAGGGTTACCTCAGCATGTTTTCTTTTTCAACAAAGTCAATGCGCCACAAGACTAAAGGAAAATCGACTTCCAGGGTTGTGGGTGGCGGTAACTGGCAAGAGAATGCTCAGAGCGTCGGATCATTTTTACTTCAACAAACTATTGCTAGCGCACTTCCATCGCCTGGGTATTCTAAGGCCCGACCGCACGTATGGGCTCTATCTCTACCAACAGGAGCGGTACATCTTTTTCAAGTAGGAACCCCTGATATCCTCAGAGAGTTTGTTTCAACTGCCAATTATTGGAGTGCTCGGTTGTCAAATCATCCTCTTGTCGGAGGAATAAGTAATATTGAGTATGGATGGTCTGATGGAATCATACAACAAGTTCAAGCTGTAACAGGCAATAGTACGCCTGAAACTATTGCTCACCTAAACCGACCGCCTACGACCACAAATCAGAATAATACTACAAACACCAGCTCCGGGCATCGACCATCGTTAAGTGGGAGATCAAGCTTTCAAGGATCCATGAGAACTAGTTTGGATCAAGGCACTTCGACTGTAAATGGGCGTAACCGCCACGTGGGAGACAAGATATCTATTACTGATTGGATTCCTCCAACCCAAAACATGCGTGCTAGCAGTTTGATGGAGCAAGATCAGCTTCGTACCTTGATAAATTACGTAACTGGTATTGAAGAAGAGCTTCAGAAGCATAATAAACTGCGTTCCCCTATGCAGATGGCAGTATGTATCCACTCCCCCAATATCAAGAGTATAATTTCTAAGCATAGCTAGTTTTCTCCTCGACATCCAAACGCCCAAAAAGCCATGGCTAATTGGGAAAAAAAATCAGCTTATCTATTACGTGAAATTGTTAAATTCCGCACATATATTGACTGTCTACAAGCTGCTGAGTCGAGCAAGCAGAGAATTTACGCTGAACGTGAGGAACGTAAAAGAGAGACCTCATCAGCGAATGAAGTAGAAAAATCCTTTGATTTTGGAATAGAAACCATCGATAATGCGAGGAATGACAATTGAAAGATTAAACAATCACATTCATACGGACAAACTACAATCTCTCAAATTATACTCTTTCAGCAACCAAGATATTTAAAGGTAAAAATTCGAAAACTTAGCATGCGAAGTATGGACTCACTCACTAGACTTATAAACCCATTGTCAAAGTATAACCAGAGCTTATGCTAACTACCATGCTCTCTACCATTTGCGATGCAAAAAACCCTTCTTTACCAAAATCTAGCTGGCTATCATCGTAAGTATCTCAGATACGAGGCGGGATAGTATCGCTCCTCGCTCTTACAAGCCGCGCAGGCGCTGCTCCAGAGCAAATAATAAAACCACATCTTAATAATCTAACTCCATGAGCTAGGGTTGGTTTGAAATAATAGACCACAATGACTGATATAAGGTTACCTAGTTTTATAAGAGTTGCAATGTAGTCACCGTCGAAGTCAATATGGCCTTCAGATCTCTGCCCTTAAGAGATCTCAACGATAGCGTTCATATGAATAGATAAACTATCCCGAAGTTACCAAAGGCTTGGATGTATAATGCTAAATGAAAGTGGAATCGCTAGCAGACCGTTATCACATCTTTTGTCAGCCGTTTTGCCGATAATAACTCTAACCACACTGGAAATTTATTTCTACCTTAGATTTAAATTACAGTCTAACTTGTGAGCGTACTGATCTGTAAATATTGAACGACCAGGGATACCACATGGTTGACTTCAAATAGCAGTTATCTCAGGGGATAGTGGAAAACTATAGTATCGCCAGGATATGGATCTGACTTATGTCATACGAATAGTAAATGGTTCACCGAGAATCCATTCACTAGTGGATTTTTTAGCCGCAACGAAATGCCGGCTAGTGACGGGTCTATTGGCTTCCGCATGTGCGCACGGATGGGAAACTAGACTAATTTGCTAGCGATATGAAGCCCGGCACAATGTTGCACGGCTCTTGGGCGCTCGGGCAGCTCAAAGTGCTATGAATGTTTCTAGTACCTGAGCCAGAGGACTCTTAACCTAGGTATTCGGTACTCGAGGGATAATCCCATAACAGAGCGCTCGCATGTGCTAAGCCATAATTCCAAATTTGCCAGGTCAGCATGCTTCTAGATGTCATTTGCAGATTTCTTCGGTTCCTGGGCGCCTATCGGCACCAACCTTACAACTGCAGGAGTGAAACTGTTCAAATACCGTATCTGTAAATAATGTCTTTTAAATGTATAAACAAACGTGACCTGGAACGCAGGGCGTCAACTTTACGGGTAGGCTGTCAATCCTGAAGATAGATAGAAAAGTTAGACATTTCTCAGGCTCCTATGCTCCCGCCATTAGTTTGGTAGAACTGTAGCGTTCATCCGTGCCACCTAGGCTAAGCATTCAGAGGAGTTTAATTCAATTATTTTAAGGAATCTTCAACCCCTAATGGGTGGGTTGACCTATCTGATCCAAGTCATGCACGGTACTGTCTGTGCATAGATAACTTGGTATAGCCTTTCCAACTACGCAAAAAGGCTAGGTCCAGCCCCGTCATGGGTTTGTGAAACGACTAGCAAATGCTTGTCATGTTTCGTTTGAACTCAAAGGTGCGATTTATTAGTAGGCAGCCCGATTACATCTTATATTTGTGACCGACTTCGATGGATCTACGTGTATACTACGTTTACAGCAATGCGCGGACCTAGGTTAAGAGTGCGGGTGACTCTATTATCATCGCCATGGCTGGACGGTACGGTGATATATCATCTTGGCTGGTCTCTCAAGTAGAGTCTTGATAGCTAGGACACATATCCCACTCGAGACAGGAAACCGTTGGTTCAAATCCGGAAAAACACAACCACTTTTCCCACGGCGCTGGTAAACATGGATTATTTAGGCATGCTTGTGTAATCAAAGGATTTGAGTATTCCCTTGGTGGGTACTTGCGGAGGAGGGTCGACTGTTTGTGTAAGCAAACATACCTCAGTGGAATATGCGAATGAAATGTAGGGTATGAGTGTCTGACGACAAAAGAGTCATCCAATATGTATACATAGCACTGGTCATGTGTCATATTTAGATAGCCGAATACAAATTAAATGATCTTAAAATGATCTTTCCCAGATCGAATCTCGATAAACCCTTTCAACGACCACAAGTAACCTAAGCCAATCATTCCATTCCATTTTATTTATGACTACTGATAGCAAAGTTCAGGGGTCAATTGGTGTGATGGCTCCAACCAATGCACCGAACGCGACACCGTCCCCCCACGGGAGCAAAAAATACGCTTTAGCCTTTAGCGCATTGCAAATGCTATTCTGCGATCTGAAAATGAAAGGAAGACGCGATTGGGCCTATTTCAGGAGCTTCTCGACTCAATCCATGCCTGAATATAATCCAAAGATGGAGAAGAAACTTCGGCAGTAATTGCGCCACTAATGGAACAAGTTGTATCAATCATCACGACCTCCGAACAGAAAACACGGCCACCATGATGCAGTCAAAAAATTTCTTTCTGCGAGGGAGTTAAATACAGCAACGCCTGCGCCGCCCACAAAGCAAGTAACTGATGAAGCTGCTGCCCCAACAAAAAAGGAACCAGAGAAGAAAACATTGTGTACAACGGTAGATCAGAAAGTAACAAATCTACCCACACCAGCGGTTCCACTAATGGGACGGAATACGAATAGGAAAAGAAAGCCTTACATCCTTCTTGGCACCCTCCAAGGAAGACAGTCGTATATTTTTGCGTCTTGGCCGAGAACACCAATGGCAAAAGCTATCGCCAGTAACGATTAAATGTCTAATCACGGAACGAGCAGGGTTAATACCAACAGCTATTGCAGCAGGATATCCAGTAATGTCAGGACTCGCAATTGAGTGCAAATCAACCAGCTAAGGGATTCTATCCTTACAGCGAAAGATTTATTAGCAAAGGAAAATGTTGGGTTGAAGACAACGTTGAAATAGATTTCTTTACTTATACCGCATTTCTCAAAAAGCATCAGGATATTGGACGATAAACTCGCCCCTACCAATATGCTTGTCACTAGCAATATGGTAGTCAGTGAGTATCTAGCAATATGAGGTGCTCTCCTAATTCAGCTTCGAACCATAAATCCCAGGGATGGATATCCAACGACTAGCTAGCTCATACATTTACAACAAAAGCCGGCAAAAAATGGCTTTAGAAATTTTGATGAAAGCGGTCCAGCAATGGCCTTCATACGGTAGCGAGTCATCGACTAATGCTCGTGATGTTGGGGCTTTCACCTAGAAAGTTACTACTGGAAAGCGCCAAGATGCAGAAGGTATAACGAGGCGCATGATGTAATAGACTGTAAGGTCAAGATGCCCAGATGTGCAATTTTTTCCGGACTGTAAGATTCGATCGACCACTTATGCATAGCTCGACCCCGTCGTCAGGGTTCATATTAAGTCCCACGAACTACGCGTTATTCTGGGGCAAGGAAATCGTGATTTCGTGGCTGAATCAAGGAAGGGTAAGGAGGGCGTGACCAAAGTTAACGCTACCCCAGAATCAACTATGCAAGACACATGAATAGGAGGCCCAATCCTCAGAAGCGTAGAGAAAGTCCTAACTCACTTACGTTTCATCAGGTGAACGTGGGAATAGGAAGTCTTAACATGGATACTGCTCTTCAACAGGCATGGGATGCAGAAGCTCCCGTCTTGTAAGTGAAAGAGTCATGGATAGAGCATAAAAACAACGACTTTATTACAAAAAGTAATACTGGCTTTAATAACTACATCATTTTTGGAAGAAATTATGTGTGGCCGCGAGCGATCACCTTTCTATGCAAAAATATTCGTGCGGCACAAGTATTTCCTACAGCTTCAGGCCCGACAGCTGATTACTATTTTGTACAGCTACACGGTTTGATATTTGCCAATGTCTACCGCCCTCCTGGTTCAAGCGGAACCTTAGAGCCTCTGCTTCGTTGGAGTCCCTGAGGTCCAGCGGTGGTCGGGGGGACTTTAACTCTGTATGACGACATTGGCAGCCGTAGACGACGCGCCAGTATGGTAATAGAGACCAAATTATGGAGTGGTGTCACGGCTCGAGTCTCGATGCTGCAGCAATCAGATATACGAAGGTAGTTCGCAATTTCCTCTATGGCTAATAATCAAGGAATTACATTAACTATTTATATATTTATGAAGATATCTAGAATACTCGTTCTTGGCTGATATCTGCCTCTCGCACATTCCACTTATAGTAGTTCCCAGTCTTGCTACCAATTACTAGAATATTGTCGAATAGTAGGACACAAGTTTTATTTGGATGTGCATTAAACAAGGATGCCGGAGTTTGGGTGGCAATAATGATTATGAAGATGTAATGACAAATGGGTAATAATTAGTAATAGCTGTGTAAGCATATATCATGTGACGAGTGTTCAAGGTCATTAAGGCCCTGGCGCTCCGTCACAAATAAAGATAGATACGAATGAATGAAACAATTGTTATTGAGTTACCTCAAACAAAGAATCCATAGGAAATATTCCGACAAATATTCCAGTTACAGCTGAACTGATCTGGAATAAAGCTAGACTACTGTAGAAGTATAGAGGGACGTGATTACAATCACGTGATACACAACAATCGCTTCACAAGCCGTTACAAGTGGGCAACGGCCCATAATATGAATTTTGTCACTATGATAGGAGAGGTAAGACATCGGGATGGCAATGTGTTGGAAATATCGCGCATTGAAATGAGTACAATATTTCTGGTACGAAAGAGGAGGTTGTCTAAAAGAGTGTCATGTCCGAATTACTGCTAGAAAAGTGGGAGGTATGAGCTATAAGTACAAGTGTAAGCGGTACAGAGCCTAAGCCACAACATAAACGATTGTGGCGCCATCTCGACACAGAAAACCCCCAATAACCTCCTCGTGCCCACGCCGTACTGCCGCTCATGTATCCATTAGATAGCCTGAAGCGCTACAATATTACCTATTACAACCTCTTAAATACACACAAGATAGTGTTGAGAACCTAGA